ACCAAGTTAGTTAACATCCAATTACTCATGATATATTAGATTGGAATTGTTTAAATATCATAAAACAAAACCAGTATATTAGTAACTTGAATGTTTTAAGTTTTGAAACTATGGCTTGTCTCTAACCCTGTTCTCAGATGCTCTTGTACAGGATTTTAGGAAATATTACATAGATACTGTAAAAAGATAAAAGCACATAGGATTTGTGTTATGATATAATGTTAATTTGGATTACTTCTGATAACATATATGTTATTCAACAGTTTTATTAACTGTAATAAATAAAATATGGTATGTAGATATTTAACGAACCCTAAATTTTCTATAAGATTTGATCATAAAACAATTCGTTCATATTTATTTAACCCAATCTTATATTGTGGAATTTGCTTATCTAAAGTAAATATGACTTTTCTGTCATCTATATCTATTCAACTGTACTTAAAAAGACATAATTCACGAGTTAACGACCCAAAGAGCAAATAATCTCACATTACTTATTAATATGACATCTAGAAGGTATATAATTAAGATAGGTTAAGTGATTAGATCATGTAATTAAGAGTACTAGCAGATTTTCAAAGGTCTATTCAATACAAATGTATCTCATTTTAAGTAGCGTTTAAGCACACAATAACTATTCTGTTCTAGTATAAAACTCCTTTGTAGTGTGCTCTCATGACCATGCTGCTCTCACGAAGAACGCTCAACCAATGAAACTATCGAGTCTCAGTCTAGTGGTAAGATTCATATTCTAAGAAATTTTTTATATAAATAGACGTTCGTTGTTGATAAGTATTTTTCTTCTGACGTGTTTGAGATCCACTGGACAGAAGATCCTGTGTCCGATCCCTACCAGGGTCGCGAGTACAGAATAATAGAGAATTCCCTTACATTAACGGAGCAGTTTCTACCGTTTGGTGGTTATTGTCAATGTTATTATAATAGTCAGAAATTCCAATCTGACATTTTCTGACTTAACATTATCAACTTTGACGTAAATTAGTTACAGTGGCTTTTTACAAGTGGGAAATAGTCATTTCACTGACTATGTGCTTCTGTTTTAATGAAAAATACACATAATTATGAAGTTTATTTGCAAGACCATTAATATTGTATACTAGATTACTGTGTGTTTCCTTTGACATACTGGAAACTGTTAGCAATCACTTATAATTCAAATAATATATTATTTGTTGTGTGCTTAATTTATGGGGAGCTTTAATATAAGTGAATTTCTATTTATAAAGTATTAGAAGTATGCTTACAGTCTTCATCCACTTCACTCTATTTAATAACTGTCAGCATGCCCATTTGTTTAACGGATTTAACATTTAAATCTGTACCGTCTGACATAAAATAGTTTTAAGCAATATTCAAATCTATAAACTTTGGTTTCATGACATTTAGTAGCCATCAGTAAAACGTACAGGCTGTCTTGAAGGGACTATTATTTAACGGAATATTAGAACTGACCTTACTTAATACCACATTCCAACTGATTTTATAGAATTCAATTGATAATGATGTTTAGACAAGATGATATTACTTACCAAAATGTGATTCATTGATATAAGCATGTCAGTTCAACCAGAATTTCATTGTTACAACCTTTGATTATAACCTTGTGTGATACAGTTCTTAATTTCAGAAAAACACATCAGGTCTCTTGAGATTCTCTATGTCCTATATTGGTAAAGAGCAAGAAAACATAGATTTGTGGTTGTCTTTTCCCTCAAACCATTTATGAAATCTAATAGTAAAAAATAGTAGAGCACTATAAATTCTGACATTTTATATTTGTACACTAGACACTTACCTTCCTTTATCTAAGAGTTCTTTCATTGTCCAATTTATGTAGATTTAAATTTATTCAATCTACACTTTAATGACGAAATGAAATCACTTGAATTATTTAAAAAAGAAAACAAAGTCACTGAAGAAATGAATTTTATAGGTTAGAAACTTTTCATTTGCATGACCAATATTGCATGTTCTCTGAGAAAATAACATGGAACAGATCGAAATTAAAAACTAGTCAAGTAATTGGTTCACTGGTAGCATGATTTACGTTAGAAACACAAAACTATACAATTCCAAAAAGTTTAAATCTTAAAAAGGGTATATATATTTGATTACTTTATTAATGAAGGTCCATATACTAGTTTTATACTTCCATTGATCATACACTTTCTATTGTTTCTTTGCCTAAATCTTCTACATTACTCTCGTCATATAAATAATAATAATATTTTTATTATCTGAATGAAAAACTTGAATTATGAGTCAAATATTTATCAAACACATTTTAAATTGCCAACGATTAAACTTGGCTTGTTATTCATTTGATGTTGAATCCATGTTACATGTCATATTATCAAATGTCAAATATTTTTGAACAGTTTGAAGGAAAATAAACATATTAAAATATATAGACCGAGAGTGACATGAGTTTTATTACAACTCTGTCCATTACGTGAAAATCCTTGATGTATTTATAAATGGATAAAAAATGAAAGGTGAATGTATCAAGATATGTTCATTCCTTCATATTTCTGAAATAATACAATCAGCTGTAGTCAAGAAAAATCCTCTTGTAAATAGACACATTCTTTACCCTCGATAAGTAAACATCCATGCCGTTGTAATTAAACATTAGAAAATAAAAGAGATTTTAATTTCACACTATTTATCTATTAGTGTTTTCGAAAATGTAAACAGTGTTCTGTGTTGTTTCTTTTGTTGTTGATAAAAATAACATTCTTTTTTTTATTATTCCGATTAAATAACTACTACATTGGATAATTGGTAATTAATAACAAAAATATGTTTTATAAAAGCAATAAAATAAAATATCTCATAGCAACAAAATAGCAATTTTGTTATGAAGTTATACTCTCGTAGTTTACATTGCAGTTTAATTTTAGTTAGATAACCATTTAAAATTCGATCTTGAGATTATGATTTCAGCTAAGCAACAATGAGAATATCATCATAATTCAACAATAAATGAATTGTAGTGTTTAACTGTGGATGCATCACCAGTCCCTATCAAACAACAACCTCAATTGACTTTGTTGATTAATAATAGTAATGTTAAACTATCCACATCATCATCGCCAAAATTGTCGTCCCCTTTAATATTGAATGCTACAAACTAATGTTTGACTACTACTACTACTTCTGGTACTGCAGTTATTGTCATTGTTACAAAGTAATGTCATCAGTATGTTGTTGATTGATGTTTTTTATTTGAGAACAGGTCTGTGATTCCAGCGAGTCTGGAAACCTGGCCCAAAAGGGTTGGGAAAACTGTTTCATCACCGTCGTGACTAGTATCGGGGCTTGCAATTATTTCCCGTGAACGAGGAATTCCTGGTAAGTGCAAGTCATAAGCTTGCGCTGATTACATCCCTGCCCTTTGTACACACCACCCGTCTCTACTACCGATTGAATGGTTTAGTGACGTCGTTGGATTGGTGTCGTTGTAGTGGCGTTGCCGCTTGACTGATGCTGAGAAGATGACCTAATTTGACTATTTAGAGGAAGTAAAAGTCGCAACAAGGTTTCCGCAGGTGAACATGCGGAAGAATCATTATCATAACCCAAAAATATATATTGATGCATGCACCTGGCTTCGTGCTGGACTGCACATACCCTAGCTTCGTGGTTATTACCCTAGGCTCCAGTGGTTATTATTGCGTCAAAACCAGTCAGTGGACATCGCAATGCTTTGTATTTATTAGACAGTCGGATCCCCCTGGTCCGTTCCAGTTCTGAGTTAGCCGTCGCGCGCCAGACCATCGAAGTACAGCCACTTGACCCAACGTGGAACAAGTTCTAGCGCTTTGCTAGCTGCACGACACTAACAGCTGAAACCGCCCACGATCGACCCGGGTCAGAGTCCAGTAATCTCACCACAATGCTCACCGAAACACACAAAGCAGCAAAGAAACCAGCCTCCAACTAAACCGACACGTATCTGATCTCGGCCTGTCTGACTCGGCCCCAGGGCCAATCCTTCTCCCGAAGTTACGGATCCGATTTACCGACTTCCATTGCCTACCTTGTAGACAGATACTTCACTCTAGTAAGGGACTAATTAACAGTGCACGTCTGCTGTCTTGATTATGGGATCGAGTCCGTGACATTCTTTTTTGAAGTGGACGCCTAACATCCGTACCGCTGAGGCGTCATCCAAAGGTATACAAGTTTAACTATCATTTAATAAAAGGGCTTAACCAAAATTAGTCATGATCGAAACTGGTTGTAAGATAGCTGCTATATTATGACATTCACCATCTGAATCTCTTTCTGGTGTCATTTCAAGAATAAAAGCTATCTTTAAACTATTTATCGCAGAAAGTGCAGTAATGGTACGGAACTAGTTTAGTATGAAGCTAGGAGCTATCAAGTTGAGAAATACTATAGTTTACAAGGTTCATATTTAATAAACTGCACCAACATTTCATGGTTTGACTCTAAAATGTTAGTAATCTACAGTTACAGACATTTAGCCTGTATGGGCTGATTGATTCATTTATTCCTAAATCTCCGTAATCGTGAGTTTAATGTCACTACTTATATTAATCATTCTTCAATATGATTTTTGCTTCGTTTGCCTAATTTTTGACTGAAGTTGACATTGCTTTTTTTTACTTCTCACGAAGTTAATTTTCTCTCGTTATTTCTTTCTGTCTCACTTTGAAGTTTTTTACTGATAAGAAGTTTTTGATGCTAACAGTAATCCAAATCTATCATTATATGCTTTGTGATTCAATGCCAACAACCTGATTGTCTGGTGAATCTTCATGAATCATTCTTTTTTTTTGGAGTGAATTCAGTAATTTGTGATTTATCATACTGTTATCATTGTTCATTACGTGAAATTTGTAAAGTATATTGAACATCAAATAATTCAATACACATTCTCTCTTTAATATGTTTGGTGCATTCTTCAATTCATTATATTTTTGATGTTTTTGATTCTTTTATTTTAGAAATTGGATTTAATCATGAAAGAACGTGATCAACTTCAAATAGAATTAACAAATACGAATCGAAAATTAGCTCGATTCTTAGATCATTTTAAAGCTCGTTTAATTTATCATATAAATGGAATAACTGTAAGATTTTTTGTTAGCTAATATATGTTGTATGTTACAATTTATAACGATGTATTTATACTTTATGAATGTTATGTGAATGGAGTTAGTCAACATGAAACCCTGCATGATCTAGATTTCTTTTTAGTTGATTCTCTGTACGAAAGCATATCTGTAATCTTAAGGGAACCAATACACCCCGTTAAATTTTAACTCGCATTAAGTGATGATGATCTCCAGCTAGTATCAAACCTAGATTATGTAGGGTTTTTTTATAAATTACTTCCAACCAAATGACACTTCCATTAATGTACAATAGCTATCCAACTATGACATTTAAAATTGATTCCTGCTCATTCTCATTTATCTTTTAAACATCTGCAATACCACGTGATGGTGAACTATACAATAGTATTCATAGATAATATCATGTATACTGCAGAAGAGAATGTCAGACATATCGAAGGTAGTTGTTATTTTCTCTTGAAAAAACATTAAAACTATAACCCTTTTAATGAATTTAATTATAAAGAATATTTTACCATCAAAGGTTTACTCCGAAAGTCAGTTAAATCAAATTCATGTAATGATTATTTGTCTACAATTCATCATATATATATGAAATAACATCATACATAAACAAATTATGGGAATCACTTTAATTGTTGACCACTATTTTACATTCATCAATCATTTTTGTATACCATTACGTAATTATATATATATATATATATATATATATATATATATATATATATATATATATATATATATATGAATGGTATATTCTACTGTTATTACAAAAATATCTGACATATTATTAGACTTATATCATATTGGAATGGTAAATGAAGTCTTGATTCACAGTATAATTCACCATTATTGTTATTAGTATTATGGACTTAAAGAACATTATAAATTCATTAATCTTTTGATATTGAGTACTTCCATCAAAGTGATATGACTTAACGTAAGGAAAGATCAGTATAATATCAGATAAAAATTGACTAGATATAAAAAATCTATAGACTCAATTTTTTTATAAATGCATTAATTCGACATAGAAATCCACCAATTTATTTTTCAATAGATTAAGTTTACATTGGTTAATAATTGAAAAAGGGAAATAGGTTACTAGTATATGATTCTAGGTTTCTTCAAAATATTCCCTAATTATTATGAAGCCACCCGATGAGCAGTTTCCAGGTTATTTACACGTTAAATTGGTTGAAGATGTATTAGGTATTCACCAAATGAGGTGATTAGGACATGTATTACGTATTACTGTCTAACTGGACGCGTGATTGCATATATTGTAGGAGTAGGTTAAAAGAAAGCTACAAGTGACCAAACGGAGGCAGTGTAATAGGTGTGTAGAACAATACGTAGTATAGCTCAAGATCGATCACAACTACATAGATATATTTACCGTTTGTCTTAAAATACCTACACTTTTATTTCACGTATTCATTCTTTCCTCTCAAACATAGTGTTTATTCCTAATTTTTTCTACTACCAGTGGTACTGTTACTACCATTATTCATGCGTTACTCTTAGTGATTTCATCTCTCTGTGTTTATGTTGCATGGAAACTTAAACTGACGCAAATATGTACCAGTTTTTAAGTTACTGACGACCGAGCGACTAAAGAACTGCACTGGTTTGAATCCTGTGAGGAAGTTCAGACATCCCAAGATTACTTCTTAAAAAGTCCCAACTAATATTAAATTCTAACTGTAAGGCTTTCTTTATATTACATTCTACCAATTAATACAATAACAAGATGCAAAACCAATTCACTGTATTTATCATTCAATTTCCGCTCAGCGTTTAGTAGATGCTACAAAATCCAATGATCGATTAATTGTCAGTGAAGGACTTTATGGTTTAGAAAAATATATTAAACATTTAATTGCTGATATGAATGCAACTTATAAAATACGTGAAAATCAACTAGTTAACATTTGCCGATCGCTTAATGGTCAGTTGCATGCAACACGTGAAGCAATGAGGAAAGTGATGATTTGTTATACGTAAGTATTTTTTTATCATTGTTATTTGATTACCTAAACGTTTATCCTATCCGAACATAATTTCATTTCACTAGTTTGTTGGCATCTGCATCCTTACAAATTCATTTAATTTTATAAATGCCAATTTTTCCAGTTCAATCAAACAGTAACTCTATTAACCTGAATAACATATCTTAATTTCAAGGCAAGACCAATGCCTAATGACTATGAATATATAATTTTCATTTAAGTGGACTGAACATGCTTATGTAAATGCTTATGAAGAGTTTGCAGGTATCAGTTCTAAAGCTGGACTTGATAGTTTCAAATAAATTGAGCATTGGGTAGAGGTTTAATACAAAATATTTTGTTGTTACATCTCAATGAGTAGGAAAGTTATATTTCTGACGTTTCGTGACTTAATGTGAGCCACTCCTTCAGAGTAAACAAATAACCGAATTAAAATTACATAAGCTTAAAGAGTACAAAAGAAGTGTTGACAAATTCAAAAGTTGCCAACTTAAAATTCTTTGGAACTACTTAAAGAGTAGCTTCTTAATTCATACCAGTATGACAATGTTGACCGAAAGTGGAGTTTTATTATGAACTATTTACATAAGCTAGTTGACATCAACCATCAGGGAGCTTTGGACCCTGGTTTCATACTAGTTGGAACTCACCAGTGAAGTGATTCACCGATGATGATGACTGAAGATCTAGTTTATAGGGCTTGGTACAGACTAATTACAACCACTTTTCATGAAAAGTAGTGCATTACAACGTTAAGTTACTAAATTCATTGATGCATGATTAGTAGAATTCAATTTGGACAATGGACTATGCAAACATAAACTTTACCTTTACTTAGGAAGTAATTAATGTGGATAATACTAATGTTTGAGAATACGTAGGTTGAGATGTTTCATATTTAATTAATATTTGTAAACAATACTCCTAAGTCATTTTATTTTCATGAAAAGACTTGATTGTATTACAAGAAATTACTTGGGTAGACAAGTATCATGTTTAATAAGTATTTGGAAGAGGAAGATACTTAGCTATAGGTAATATCGACCAATATTTGCAATAGTTTGTAGCGTTGTCAAACAGTGAGCCTTAAATACTCACTGAAACAGTAAAAGTTATCTTTTGAAATGAACCATGAAACAAAACTGAAGATAATTTCAAGAGCACATAATTCAAGCAACTGATTTTTTTTAACTAAGGTCACCAATAGAAATCAGTTTTAATCCAGATTATGAACTGATCAATGTATCTCAATTAAGTTGAGCTTTTTAAAGTTTTAAAATCAAATTCCCAACCTTCTACTCCTTCCCACCATATATTGAACCCAGGATTTGTCCAGTGATATCCAGTCCTTCCTGATTTCTAGTGGTTGTTTGACTAATATGATTGTGCAGTGTTGAGTAGAGATTTAAAAAAATCTCCACAAACCGCCATATTATTTACACTACCTTAGGAGTGTTCACGCCATTATAACTACAAAACAGAGATTACATTTCGGTGTACAATAAGTTTACTAAGATACAAGACATAATCAGTCACTAGTTATTTATTTAAAGCAATAAAATAACGAGAGAACGAAGTAGACTAACCAAGGAACTCATCGTACATTCAACAATTTAACAGTAGTAAATACTAATCATTTATGATATGAAGAATAAAAGTATTAGGTGCATATAAATCGGACAACAAGTTACTAAAGCCTACCAATAGATTATTACTATGAATCACGGAATACATCACACTGCTATTATACTTACAGTTGCATAAAACTGTTCTAGCTGAATACAGATAAAAATTAAAGCATTTAGTACAAATTCACTATGATGTTTTTGTACGAAGCTGATACTCACAGTTGGTATTCTTTATATTTCGTTTTTCAAATAAGACATATTTATACATGGTTGTCAATTATTTTGCACAGATTCAAAAATGATGGTTACTCACTTTATTAACAACAAAAAATGATTGTCATTTTAATCAACTTCAAACATTTTCTATAAGCTCATTTATGGAAAAAGAAAACATTTCTAATTACTTGTTGGATCGTTAACTCATCAAAATTTAATGTGAATACTTCAAATATTCTAGTTCAATACAATCAATGTACACCAGTTACAATAAGCAGACATAGATGTTTACATACTTATGAATTAAATAATGTTAAATAGGTAGTAGTATTAGTTAGATTCGAAGTAAAATTAGAAAACTAACCATGAAGGATTTACCAATTTCAAGAAGAAAAACATACTTTTCTAGTTTCATAAAAAGAAACTCTTCAAAGAAGAATCTAAAAATTGGATAAATTTCGATGATAAAGAAATTGAAACTGATTGATTTGTTTAAGCAGATTTTTAAAATTACCAGATACTTTTATTTGTATTGAAATGAAAACTTTCCAACTATTCAAGAATAATCATCAGGCTAAACAGATATGTAAGCATTGATTTTTAGCTTAAAAAGAAATATTTATTGGCCAGTTTAGGTCAATTATTCGGTTTATTCACTAAACACTTTTTAAAGTTGTTGAAAACACATGCTACAGTGGCTTAACGCTATACAAAATGCATAGTGAAACTGGCTTTTTTTGAGTAACTAATGCAAAACTATGATTTAACTCTCAGAACGTTCATGAAATGTTTAGAGATCATTATGGAGATAGGATACTGAAGATATCAATATTTTCAAGAGTTTTTTTCTCTTAGCTGTGTGTACTTCAAGAGGATAACTGTCAGTTTTTCGTATCGATGAAAATCTTAAGCCCAGATGGTTTCTTATGTTTTCCGAAGGTCAATTCACTGTGAATGATTGATGATGAACTAAATTTGAGTGAATCGTCTGTTTGTGTTTGTACAGTCGGATCAAAAGTTGAAACAATGAAGAAGCTGAATAGCCTGTCTTCTGAAGATATCTGGAAATGTCTCAACCAATAGAAACAGAAGCGAGATGAGTCTTAAAACTGGAGTTTGTAATATCTTCAGAATTTATTAAAACAGATTAGTGTATGACAATACCTTCCTTCATTTCTGTAAGATATTCAATAGAAATTTGCAATCATATATGACACCTTAGGCGGTATTCATTTAAATTCACGAAGTGCTACAGTTGTTAGACAATGGTTTATTAAACATGCCTATAGACAACAACCACTCCAATCCGTGATAGCGTTCAGACGTCAAAGTGTTCTATTTTGTTCATAGTAAGGTTTCAATCGATCATTTGCTTTCTGCTCCTAAGATGTTATGGAATAATCTCTGATCATGAAACAATATGACTGGTTCAAAATAGACAGAATACTTGAAGAATCCGTAAATAAAATTGTTAGTTTTATGTATGCATTAAAAAGCTTCTATAAAGTACAAAAATTATCCAGGGATTTTGATTAGCTGAATGAAAACAATCCTGTAAACAAACTTTGGAAAATAAAAATTAGTAGGTCAACAATTTATTTTCGATTCGATGGTCGATAACTTGATCATTTGAAGGTCATTTACTGCTTATGTACATTTACAGGGTTAATAATGTGTGCGTCAATGTATACAATGAATAATGAATGAGTAGTTCTATCTTGTCGTTTGTTATAGAAAACCTTTAACCTATCGTCTTTACTTATTAAAGGTATTCCAACTTAAAAGTAAAGGATGGTAATCTATAATTCATTGAGATTAGTCCAGTAGACATGATTATTGCATATCCGTGTTACAAAAATGGCATAAAACCATACCTACATAACTTTTGCTTGTCTAAGAAGTTACAGAAACCACTAATTACATTGACTTTTTAATTAAGAACTGACATCGTCTAGGGACGATTTTAAAACCATGAAATGATAGACAGCTGCATCGTCTTAATTTGTAATTTCCCAGTAATGGACAACTATAATAACACACTGGTAAAAACTAAGGACATAAACGAAAATACTTAGAATTATCATTCTGTGAAAATTCGAAATCATGGCTTCAACCCTAGTGTAATAATAATTATTCATAATTTAGGATTTCAAAACTTCAGCAGAAAATTAATCCGATCTGAACTGTCTATCAAAACCCCAACAGTTGCTGTCCATTTATGATATAAGGAATCTTAACATCAACCAAACCTCAAAAAATTCATATTTTAGTGAATAAAGTTGTTCAGTTCTTAGTGAGCTTGCCTTAAAAGCTGTTCACTCAAGTATTATTCAAATGTCTTAGATAACATTCAGCATGAATTAAATCGGCTAATTTTGATCTACAAGTTAAACGTTAACGTTAGAGATGTGAGGTCTTGGGTCCGACACAGGGTATAGGCTATTAATGTGCAATGACGAGGATCAATCAGTCATCCATGCTTCTACGTTTTCAATGGGGGTCTAAATGAAATCAGTTTATGATTTAAATCTATGAAAATTCTATAATCTCCCTAAAACCATATACTGACAATTAAAAATTACGGACGATCTTTCTGTAATAAGGACAGGAAAATCAGGTAGCTCGACTACCGAGTCCACTGACTACGTTTACCCTATACCCCTATAAAACCACCGACCTTCTCTTTGACTAGTAACAAATAACTTTAATCAATAATTGCAAATATTCTTATACATATTTTCCAGAAAGCAGGTTCTGCCTGGATTAGCACTGAAAAAGGTGACAAAATTGATTAAATAATCATAAACTACTCAGATATACTCAGATACATAAACGTATGTGGAAAGAGAGACATTAATCGAACTTCGCTGAAATTATACTAATCATAAATACAATAATTTATAGCAAACGTAACGATCACATACAATTAAGGGACCTAGATTGGCTTTTTTTTCTGGAATACAACATTGTAGTAGCTTGACATTGAGAAAATTCCTTAGGCTTCATTTATCATTGATCATTCTATTTTATTTTATTACTTAAAAATGATTCATGATAAAATGCAAAATTGTTGAATTCTTATATTGGGAAATAGATGTATATACATCAAACATATTAATTGACATGTATATTAGCGAACATGTTTGC